CTTGGCAAAGGACTTGAGCGCTTGGTGGCACAGAATATGGCATAGATCTCTATACACTACAAAGTATTAGCAAGGCAACAGTTTAGGGCTCTCCCACTAAGATCTGCAAATAATCTAACCACATGCCTAACACATGATGTTAAACAAGCACTAAATCAAGGCATGACTGCCTCACTCCTTACCCTAGATGTTAAGGGCGCTTTTGATGCCATGCTTCCCGGCAGACTCATCCGCAGATTACGTGAGCAGGGCTGGCCCACTAATCTTGTTCTCTGGATTGCCTCCTTTGCTACTGGGCAATCAGTCCAGATCCGACTTGATGGAGAGATTGGCCCCTCAACAGACATTGCCTGCGGTCTTCCACAAGGATCCCCAGTATCTAGCATTCTTTTCATGCTCTACATAGCGCCCCTATTCCGTCTAGGAAACCTAAGGAACAGATTTGGTTACGCAGACAACGCAGCTAACCTGGCAATCTCAACATCTCTTGCTACTAACTGCAAAGCATTATCAGACTCACTACAAGAAGCTCTAAACTAGAGCGCTGTAGAGGGCATTACATTTACACTAGATAAATACAAGCTTCTTCATTTCTCCTGACATAAAGCAGACCAGGACCCAACCTGTACATCTTCAGTAAAAGCTGGATCTATCATAATCTTAGAAAATACTAAATAGCTATATCTACGTTGGCTAGGAATCCTCTTTGACAAAAGCTAACATTTAAATGGCACGTTAAACAGCATCTAAAGCCCTCACTGTGGCTAATGCCCTTCGCTCTCTAGAGAATACTATCCGTGGAGTCAAACCTCATTTACTATAGCAGGCTATATCAGCCTGTGTATTCTATAAAGTATACTATGACGCAGAAACCTAGTGGCCAGGACATACTCGCCCTGGGCCTTCTTAAATTTTAAATTGAGTTGGAGAACATCTTGAGAAACTAACTAAAGTAATACTAGCAGGTGCAAGAGCAGTCCTTCCAGTTTTCCACACAACCCTAATATCTGTTCTATACCGAGAGTCTGGATTCTCTCCACTAGAAATTAAACTAGATTAAATAGCCCTCCAAACATCAGTCTGTCTACAGCGTCTTGATCCATACTATCTACTCCGAAGACGCGCAGAACAGATAGCTAGAGACAGCCGACAAACCAGTCAATTTGCCTGCCAAGTGCTGGCACTCCCTAACTCTGAATAAATAAACCCTCTACAATATGCTCCCTAGTACCCTCGTGAGTCACACAAGAGTGCCTAAGCCTGAATAGGAGCTCCCATGGGACGCACTAAGGAACAGGCAGCGGCTAATTTCATGGCTTTTCAATGCATCATCCCTAGCTCAGATATTGTAATCTTTTCAGATAAATCTAGGCTGATAGATGGACGTGCAGGGGGTAGCTATATTAGATTTCAAGCACACTATTAGTTTCTCCGCTCCTCACTCTTATACAGACATGGGAAAGAGGTCTTTAACACAGAAGCAGAAGCTGCCCTAGCTGGTGCTTAAGCAGCAATAACATACCCAACAGCTCAATTTACTACCAACCTATGGATCTGTCTTGACAACCTAGAAGTTGCCACGCGCCTCCTATCCCCCTCTACAGGATCCTCTCAAGAGGTCTTTGAATCCTTTCACACCCTTACAGCCGCCTGGCCACTACGCAAAAGGCTTCCATATACTAAAAGTGGATCAATCCAAATCCGATAGGTCTCTGGACACACTAAAATCCCTAAGAATGAAGCAGCTAATCTCGCTACCAAGGAAGGAGCTGTCTCTATCCCCCCCTCTCTATATAAGTCCTCATATGCCTCGCTAAAGAGATACGCCAAGACTTAATCTCTTTCTACTGCTCAGATACAGTGGCAGACTGTAGCACCATAGATATACCAAGATCTAGAAATAACTACATCTCCTAAACGCCCTGGAGAGCTTTAACTCAACTAACTTGACCTTGGCCGTATCATAGCGGCCCATACTGGTCATGGAGACTTTGCGGATTACCATGAGCGCTTTAATTATGATGATATTTATCTTCTCTGTTAGTGTGGAGCATAAAAAGTACCTCTACATTTCTTCTTCTGCTATATAGCTAAGAGACGAGCCCCTCATCCACCTGGACCCCCTTCTGAAGTTATCTCTTTTCTTTTAGGTACTGTGAAAGGAACACGAAAACTAGCCTCATGGCTAGCAGAGACCCATTCTTTGAAGATATCTGTCCTCGCCAACCTCTCCTTAGCACCTAGCTAAGTCAGCCCTACTTTCCCCTTATATCTCTCTTTTCCTTTGTTCTTTTTTTCTTTCTTTCTTTTCTTCTTTCCTTCTTCCCTTTTTCTTTTCAAACTCACTGCTTAAGTATGATGGTGGTAAAATGATGGGTCATGGAGCGTAGGTGGACCATTGCAGCTGGCAAATACCCAAAACCCACTAGGAAGTGGATCTCCCTTTAAGACCATGGCAGCTATGGAAATGCGCTAAAGAGTCTCTTATTTGTATATAAATCTGATAGGACCTGAAGCCTGAGGCTTAACCCTCGGCGGCCTATGTCCCAGTAGGGATCGGTGGGAAGCGTGCAAGTCACGAACCACGGCCGTCAAATACACACACACACACACACACATCCGTATCCATATCCATGAAATCTCGAGGCTTCGGATATATCCATGGATATTATCCATGAAAAAAAAACGTATTCATATCCGTAAGATCCATGGATATATCCATATCCGCGTATCCATGGAGAGCCCTAGCTATATAGCAAGGCTCACCACGTAGGGCAGTTGGATCGCCCTAGCTTACGATATCCTACGCTTCGTGATACGGGACGTAGCTAAACCAACATTAGATAAACTGGATATCCAGCAAGACAGTGTCAGATAATTCGGATATCCGGAGGCAGTAAAAGGAAGTGAACAATCAGAAGCCCTATCTTATAGCCCCTAAAATTTACCTCTCTTGATGACTCACAAATCACCCCGCCAAAAGTGTCTATAAAGGACCTGGCTTTGAAACCTGAGGGATAGGAAGATACAGAACTCAATACATACAATCTTGCTAGTCACTTCTTTTCTTTGATCCTAGTAAAACACTTTTCAAGATTGGCCTGGAATAAACCGACTAATCCGACAACTCATAGGTTTCCTCGGCCGGAAATAATAAATAGTCATGTCCGCCTTAAAACCGAGCCCTCTGCAGGGACTAGGGCCATTTTGGAAGTGAACGAAGAAAGCCCCACCACCGGGCCCGCGTCTTGTCGACCAGCTACCAAAATGACGTCCGTCAGTCATGACGCGGACCCTTCTTACCGGTGGAAGTGGCTTCATTGCCGCTCACATTCTCGATGCGCTGCTTAAACGCGGGCATTCTGTCGTGACCACCGTCCGCTCACAGGAAAAGGCAGAGCAGATCAAGACATCCCACCCAGGTGTCTCAAAGGAGAATCTGGACTTTGTGATTGTGGCTGATATTTCTGCGCCTCATGGTAGCTACATATTTATTTATCCCTTTTGGTCGAGCTTTCCAATTTGAATGGCCCACGTGAACTAACTGTGGAACTGTATATGATATCCAGCCTTCGAACGGGTGGTCGTTTCTGATCCCCCTTTTGAGGCTGTGATCCATACAGCCAGCCCGTTCCATTTGCGTGCTCAGGATGTTAAGAAGGATCTCCTGGATCCAGGTTTGTGCCCCAGATTTCTCAAAAATCTACCTGGAAGACTACTTGCTTATGAGATTGCTCTTCAGCTATCAATGGCACTGTTGGTCTCATCAAGGCCGTCAAAAACAACGCTCCATCAGTCAAGCGAGTGATGGTTACATCTTCTGGCGCCGCAATCATGGGCTTTTCCAAGCCTCAGACATATACTTTCACAGAGGTAACAACTTTATTAATCTCTTAAAACATATATCCCGTACCCATGCTAACCTTAACCAAGGCGGATTGGAACAACATGACCTGGGAAGAGGCTACCTCCAACCCCCTTAATGCCTACCGCGCAAGCAAAGTTTTCTCTGTAAGTTCACAGTTTCAACGCCTGGATTCGACCACAACGCTGACCACTCCATAATTAATTAGGAGAAAGCTGCATGGGACTTTGTGGAAAAGGAGAAGCCCCACTTTTCCGTCACAAGTGTAAGTCAGACAAAATAACCCATGATACTATCAAAAGGGTCCAAGTACTTAACACTCACACACATATTACTTGTCAGATAAACCCACCCATGGTCTACGGTCCTATAGTTCATCATATCAAGAATCTTGATGGACTCAATACTTCCAACGAGCGCATTCGCGACATTGCCTTTGGTAAAGCAAAGGATAGCTGCCCATTCACTGGGGTATTCCTGTGGGTGGATGTCCGTGACCTGGCATTGGCACATGTTCTGGCAATTGAGATACCTGAGGCAGCTGGCCAGCGGTTCTGTGTTTCTCCAGGACAGTATTCCAACAAGGACATTGTGGAATGTATCCGGGAATCATTCTCTGAACTCCGAGGCGGTTTGCCGACGGGAGACGCATTGAAACCGGGTGATTTCCCACCCACAGGATGGTATGGATATGATAATACCAAATCCAAGGAGGTCTTGGGCATCAGCTATCGACCATTGAAGGAGTGTATTGTCGACACGGTGAACAGTCTTAACCCGTTTGTCAATAAAGGCGAAGGCAGATAAGATAGCATTTGAAATACAAGTGAGGTGAAGCTTGCTAGAGATTGCATTAGAATTAGTCGTCAGCTGTCAGATTGATGGTGATCCGACAATTTAAGATATGTTTACGCCAAGGGGACTCAACGTGCCTTGTCGTAGGGTGGATGAAGCTGCCGTACTGTAAGCAAAGCTCTCAATTAAATGGCTTTCCGCGATCGCCACAGCTAGCTGAGCTCCTCGTATCTCCTTTTGTTTCTAAATTTCCCTGCGGGTTGGGAAATGCGTACCATAACTGAATCATGCGATCTTGTGCTGTCAAAGCTGGCTCTGCAAAAATGTGGTCGAGATCTAGATGGAGAATGGTACAAAGGACCGGCCTGTTGGCCTAGTCATGGACAGCAACCTGACACTCGTCATATACCTTTTTGCATTGATAGGTCTGGGGGTTCCTACCGTCCTGCTCTCGACACGACTCAGTGCCGAAGCTGTCAGACACTTGGTGCAAAAAACACGGACAAGCACTATCCTCGTCCCGGCACGGTTGGATGGCACGGCTGGTGAGGCCCTGTCGTCATGGGATACGAATGATTCTCCTCCGCCTTCGAAGTACTATCCTGCTGCGTACAGGAATTTCTTGACCGAAGAGGCATCGTCATCCACTGCGTTCTCACAGAACAACGTCAGCCGTAAGAACCAGCTTGTCTCGGAATCGGACTGTAACGTGCTCATTCTGCACTCGGTGGGACGACAGGTCTGCCTAAACCAATTTATACCTCTCATCGGAATTATCTCAGCTTTGCTCTTTGCCATGAGTTCGAAAACGATGAAGAAATGCTGTCGCCAGCCCTATCAACATCTCCGCTGTTCCACGTAGGTAGTCCCGCTCAATTCTCTCCCTCTATATTGATGAGAAAGCGACTGACCAGGCCCCTCTTACATGGATTTGGATTGCTGCCACCATGCCTGTCATTGTGCGTAGGGAAACCGTTCTGCCTTCCAGAGGTAGGCACCATCTTCACTGGTCCGTCGATAACGCAGCTCTTGCGGAGCAGTGGAGCAAAATCGCTGCTTACAGTGCCATCAATTCTCGAGGAAATCGCTCTGCTACCAGACAATGAGGAAATCCACGCTCTGCAACAGCTACACTTTATCGCTTTTGGCGGCAGATTGCCCAAAGAGACCATTGGCGACAAATTAACAGCTGCCGGAGAACACCTGCCGGAGTGAAGCTCCTCAACCACTACGGCGCCACCGAAACGGGACCTTTGGCTTCACTGTACGTGCCCCAACCGGGTTATGATTGGCATTATTTCAAGCTGCCACAGATATCCGGGACGTGCTAATATTTGTCTCGAACCCATCGGTGACGAAAAACATAAACTGGCGAGTCAGTGGAAACTGAGTCTACAGCCAGTAGGCTGGAACGAACGATTTCCGATACAGGATATCCTCGTTGCTCGTCTATCTCCAGATTCTGATAATAAGTAAGTGCTGGGGCGAAGTGATGATCTTATCCCCTTGGCGACGAGTGAGAAAGTCTGTCCGACGATCGTTGAACCCATGCTGGCTTAAAGCGGGGCCGTCAAAGCTGCGGTAGCATTCGGGGACAGCCAGTTTGAAATCGGAGGGTTGATCGAACCGACGGTTTAAAATCTCGTCTGCAGAGGAGGATACATTGAAGTCCACTCTCTGGCCAATTATTCAACAGGCTGGAGAGAAGATGGATTTCCACGCTCGCATTTCGTCTCCTCAGGCAATCGTTCTGGTGCAGGGAGTCTCCCTCGGTCCGATGAAGGTACGGTCTTGCGACGAGAGGTCTACCAGCGGTTTGAAAAGGAGATTGCGGAGGTTTACGGTAAACTCGACGCGGTGATAGACTATTCGGTTCCCCAGCTCCGAATAGACTCACTTGAGGGCGACCTCCGCAAGCTCATCAGCAAGAATCTGAAGTGGACAAACAACAGTGAGTGGAGAGTGGACGGATGAACGGGACTTTTTCGAACTGGCCATGGATAGCTTCCAAGCGACCATATTGCGCAGGTTGCTCATATCATCTATAGCGACGGGGGCTCTAAGGTTTCAAGCGATCGGGATTTTATCTACCAACATCCGTGCGTTGCTAGACTTGCCAAAGCCGTGAGAGAGGGATTCCAAACTCAAGCCGCAGCATCAATGGACAGTAGTCTCCTCGAACGGTTCATCGACACGTACTCCCAGCAGCGGCAGCAGCAACCCAACGTGTACGGCGACAGCGACATCGCGACCGTCCTCCTAACCGGAGGCACAGGTAGCCTCGGATGAGCAACAAAGTGTCTCTTCTCACTGAGACTCGGAAATATTTTCACAGTATGATGATGCGTGCGTTATTTGACATTCTGATCTTCAGTCTTAGCCCTTGAGGGGATTGGCATGACAAGTGCGCTATGTCTGCACATGTTATAGTATTTCAGCCAGCCACTAAAGTAACGCTAGACTTTTCCTTGACATGGCAATCTATTTTATTGGGCGACAGCTGTAATTCTTAGTTACATTCCTCCCCCGTTCAGCTATATAGGCGAGTTGTTTTTAGGTCTCCGACTACACTACGAACCCCTCTTTTTTAAACTCCACAAACTCTGATCAATCGTGAGATTCCGCCAATTGCTGGATAACCTTACCTAGCTAATTTAGGTAAAGTAATATTGCTAAGGTGATACCGAGGTTGTTTGCGGAATGCTCCGTACCCAGATTTGAGATAAAAGTCATTATAGAGGACTAGACGTGTTCAGTTACCATTAGTCCATAGATCATCAAGTTGATGGCTTCTGTTATGGATATAAAACGCGTATAACATAAATCTGCCGGCTCTGCTCAGCTCATTTCGAATATCGTTTGTAAGATATCGATCACCTTTATTTTCAAAGCCACATCTCTGCTGTTTAAATATGACTTCAGTTAAAGATCCAGCTTACAACACTATCTCGACTGAACTTGGTTCTTACACCCGCAAGTTGATCAAGCCGATCCAATGGGAACCAAAAATCGAAGCATTCATCAAAGAGGTTCAGGAAAACGGCTTCGTAATTATTCGAGATGCCTTCAGCATGGCCGATATTGCTGAGACGAAAGTAGAGTTGACCCAATTAGCCAGCAGTGGACGAGGTGGGCCTGCTGGCACCAAGGGGCGGAACGCGTTTGAGGGCTACCAGACAGGACGAATATATGCACTTTTGGACAAATCTAGAATCTTTGATAAATTCATATTGCATACAGATGTCATGGCCTTGAATGACTTTTTCCTGGACCCAGGTTTTCAGATAAATGCCTTTCATAGCGTTTCTATTCAACCCGGGGAGCAACCTCAGACGCTACACCACGACGATGGGCATATTACAGTACCACGGCCGCATCTACCATTTGGAACAGTAAGTATACAACCAAAATTGCCTTGACGTCACGTATGTGGCTCACTTTTGAAATGTGGGTTATCATTACTGACTTCGACATTATAGGGTGTCATTGTTGCTCTAGACGCTTTCACCGAAACGAACGGAGCGACTGTTGTCGTGCCAAAGTCACATCTTTGGGACGACAAGCGCCGGCCGGATAGAGGTGACACACTTCCAGTTGTGATGGAAAGTGGAAGTATGGTATACTTTTTAAGTACACTATGGCATGGGGGAGGTGGAAACAGTTCTGGAGAAACACGAGACGCCTTGAACATGCAGTACTGTCAACCCTGGATACGTCCGTTTGAGAATCACATCCTCGCTGTTAGCTGGGACAAATTAAGCCAGATACCTCCCAAATTGGTTGACATGATGGGCTACAAAGTTGCAATCCCAATGGTCGGTCATGTAGAGGGCTCCAGTCCGCTCAGCGCAGTTACTCGTCGTCTTGAAAAGTATCACAAACAGAAGTCACCGACGGAGGCAAAACTTTAGCTATGAGCAGCGTCTGGATATCCAGATTTCATGAATTCCGAATATGTGAATCTCTGGCTCATTGATCAATATGCTTTACACACCTCCGGCTAGGGCTACCTAGCTATGGAGTTTGGTTGTTAGTTAGCAAGAAAATCCCTCTTTAATATACGAAGATATCCCATAAAAATTTCCAAAATAGACGCGTAATAAGAATCTGAGATGTCTAGAACGTGTGCAGTCCAGGGATATTCGAGCCCCTAAAAGCACAATATAGCAGGCATTGATATCACCACTTCTGCAGACGAATCAAATTTGAGGAAATGGAGGTCCTTTTCCACCTTACTCGCTAGCAGGACCCTGATATAACTCCGACAGTGGTGTTTAGTGATTGGACTCACTCGGGGGCGGCACTACGTCCTTTGTTGCGTATGCTGACTGAATAACTTTGAAGCGTCGCGAGTCGTTCATAGTAACCCTAACCCTTACCACATAAGACAGTCACCTAATTCCACCAAGCGGGGCGTACAACCCTAAGATTACCCCAGAGATCTCAAGATGTATGTTAAAAAATGATTGGTAAAAAATACAGATGGCATCAATTGGTGCTATTGCTTTTATCAGCTGATGACAGACAGAGGGCAAATACGGCCGGACAAAGCTCGGCATTTCTTTCTACAAAAATACTGTTGCAAATTATTAGCGCAACCCAGCCCTATCAAAGACGCACGTGGGAACAGATTTGAATATGATCCTCCGAATTAAGGTTAACCACAGTCGTATGACGGCTGGAAGCCTTGACTTCAATATAAATATCTCCATTTTCTCTACATATATTCAAGACTCCTACACATCGCCTTTACGCCACCTTCAGTTTACTCGAAACTTGTCTCAACGTCTAAAGCTAATAATAATACGTACCTCGAACTCTACATCACCATGAGTGTCGTCGCTGCCGAATCGCGAGGTTTCATTGACTTTTACACAAAGTCTGGCTCTACCAACGGGGCCAAGATTGCGATTATTCTCAACGAGCTTAGGTACCTGCGTTTACTTCAAAGCCCAAATATCTCGGTACCGAACTAATGATTTACAGCCTCACGTACCGACTTCATAAGGTTGACAAAGCACCAAAGGATACAGAGGCATATCGCGCAATCAGTCCCAACAGTCATTTCCCAGTCGTAGTAGACATCCATCCCGATGGTTTCAAGGTCTCTCTCGACCAAACTGGTGCCATTGCACAGTACTTGATTAATGAATACGACCAAGACCATACCATATCTTTTCCCAAACGGTCACCTGAAGAGATCGAGGCGACCAACTGGTTCTTTTTTGGAGCGTCGCGTGTAGCTCCTTCTCACGACGAGGCAGTCCACTACAAGAAGGAAGCCCCTGAAACCATTCCGTACAGCATTGACCGATTCCAAAACAAGACCCTGGGTCTATTCTTTGCACTGGAACAGCGTTTAGAAAAAACGGGTGACTATCTCGTGGGGCATAAATTGTGTGTACTACCCATATTTCAGGTTTCAAATCAGCAATTTACTGATAATCTACGCAGCTCAATCGCAGACATTGCTCAGATTCCGTTCGTCGTCGCTGCTGAAGAGGCCGGAATCAACATAGAACGATTTCCATACTTAACATCCTGGTATGAAAAGGTTCTATCACGTCAGGGTGTTAAGAAAGGACTCTCCGTTGCTGGAATTGAATTTTCGGCGTAGGTTTTTCTTTTCCTTTTTTTCTCTGGATTTTAAGCAATTTGAATGTCGGTGTTTGCTTGCAATGATGATAAATGTTACTCTGATTAATGAAACTTCTATTTTAACCACCCTAACCCTCAAATTTCAATTCGTATGCCTTGTGTGGTAGCTTAGCAGTATTTGTAGAACATCGAATGTTGGGTAAGAAAAAGTACTGTTAGATAACGCCGGATTGTAACTACTAACTGGAACAGGTATATAGTGGACAGAAAGTTTCCACGTCAAATACTCCATCGATACAGGGGACCAGGAGTCAACCACCATCCCTTGACCGTAGAGAGTTGTATAACCCTACCTCAAATTACCAATACTCTGACACCTTTGCTATCCAGCTTCACTCGTGGGGTGAAAAAGTCATATTTGTAACGAATATCCGTCGCGTCGGTTTGATACAAGGTGTAATCGAATCTTCCGAATGTCATGGACATGGCAAAGAAAAGTTCGGCCCACGCAAGACTAAAATTTCGGTCACATCTTAGACTTCTGTCCTAAAGTAACCCAAGAAAGGACTTGAACGCTAGATGACTTACTTAATTCCCAAACACCGTCGAGGCCCCTTCCCAAAAGCAACCAGGTAATGATCAAGGGGTTTACCATCAGGGGCCTTAGGATCGTTGAGCCATCGTTCCGGATTGAAGCGATGCGAGTCGGGAAATATGCTTTCGTCATGATGGACATCCACGATGGTCATGCTAACCTTCGTACCTTTGGGTATTATGTATTGATTCTTATAGTTCAAGGTCCGATCAGGGTGCCTCCGTGGGTTACGTGCAGACAGGCCATATGAGAGGCGGAGAGATTCTTGGATGCACGCTCTCAGATAAGGAAGTTTCTCGAGCTCGAGTAATGAAGGAATCTCATGATCCCCTGCGGGTAATGAATTGAACAACTCATTCTTGAGCCTACTATAGATCTGCGGCGTGTTGACAATGTGGAAGACACCAACACAGAGAGCGAAGGCCGTTGTTTCAACTCCAGCAGCAACCAGTATATTGGCTTCGTCTGCCAGTCGTTGATGTGCTTTGTCATATGCTGTCAGATTTTCCGATGCCAGTATTTCACTGAAGATAGTTGTCTTCGAAATCTGTTCTTTTCCTTCTTCCGGCTTTGACCTGGCATGAGTCTCAATTGTACGGCCTATTATCGACCATTGGTCCTCGAAAAGCAGTGCATTAGTTTTCCGAATTATTAATGTTCTTTGATAGAGTGGTAGAAAGGGTTGTGTTATGGATAGAGACCTACCCTTTTCAGGCGCAATAAACTTAACATACTTGGTTGGGCCTTTTCGATCCGTGTATCTGGTAAAGAGTTCATCGCCTCAGAAAGTTTCAGTCAGATGAATGCATATTACCCAGAGAGGAGAAACTTTACAGAAATTATCCACGGAAAGAATGATGCCACATGCGCTGAGCTACCAATCGCCATAAAAGCCTCATGAAACGATTCGAAGTTCAGTGATTCGAGTTGATTGTAACTGAATCCAAATGCGTATTCCATGATCATGTCGCCCGTAAAGGCAGGTAGCATATCTGTCATTGATAGCGGTCTTCCGGTCCCCTTGAAGCCGGAAATTCGCTCACATAGTAATTCAGTACGTTGCTGAATGAGATGTTCCAGAGACAATATGGAGCGCCGAGAGAACCTTTCCGTTACATTAGCTGACTTGACCACTTTACGAACAATAGCAAAAAAAAAACAGATTATCACATTGGGTTTAAAGCTCCACGTCGCCTTCGATGGGAAGCAGCATCTATTGTCGTGAAAACAGATGACGGGCTGCCAAACTTGACATTCCATCCGGGCTTTTCCACGTGTAAATTTTTGGCATAAAGTTCATCATAGAATTCGATATCTCGGATGTGAATCTCATCAGGAGCAACCCGAATAATGGGACCTGACCAAGATATTTTGTTACCTATTAATGCACCCAGCGTATCCAAACATAGTGAAACGTACCATATTGGTCACGTAGTTTGTCAATATGGAAGGAATACTGCCCACTCAGGACAATCTCATAGTAGGCCTCATACCATTTCGTTAGTGCAGCGAATCGAGGACCAGGGATATGTGACAAAGGACTGAAATATAGGCGATATATGGATCGAATGACAAGATAAACCGTCCACACCAAGATAGCAAAGCACAATACCTGCGGGAGCATGGGGGAAATAAGCCTGGAACCACTCATTTCTAACCAAGTCATGTTGAGCTCTTTACGAGACAAAAGCTCTCGGCAATGGCAAGGAAAAGAAGAGGAACACAATGCATACAATACGGATTAATAGTTTCTTCCAACTGTACTAGATGGCAATGGAAAGTTTACACTAAGCAAGCCATGTCACTCTTTATACTAGTAACTTAGTTTCTTGAATAACTCTAATCAGGTCTGGCTCGCCGGTCGAAGCTGTCAACTCGTTCCACGCCTGATAGGGAGGGTGTTGCTCCAACACCAGCTTCTCGCTTGCCCTGGACTGTAAAAAAGATAAAATTTTGCACTCCGCTGACATCAGAGGCCTAGGCGGCTTGGCCGCTTTCAGTGCACGGTAAATCCCTCGTCATCAATTATACGCCAGCTAAAATAATAATTGGCCAATAATTGCGCACACTCTCAAGTATTGTGGATGTATCGTAGAGACACGGACGGCACGGGACTGTCGAACGCACGGAACAGCCCGTTGTTTGCTCCAGTTTACAACGAGAAATTGCCAATCATATTAAAATGCTACCAGTTATCAGTGGATATTAATATATGGAATATCCAACCATTCCCACATGAACTGAATCCACTCGTTCGGACAATCTGCGCGAAACCAGTTACGGATTAAATGGCGGAGACCGGATACCATATAAGGTATGGACAAGACGTAGAAACAAAGTGTTGAACCCGAACGTGATTCTTTGTCCGGTAGTTCACTAGGTGGATATTTGTCTTCTTGTCTTTCTTTGCCAAGTCTTTAGTCACTTCTTGACAATGTCCAATATTTTGTGAGGCTTCTATCTAGGCTCTTGTCATATACTACTCCGTACCCGCTGTGGAATTCGTCTCCATAGATCACCGGAAGCCGTGAGATCTATATATTATATAACGATGCAAAATGCCTGAAAACGCTGTTGACGAAGATCAAGCTCCTACAGCTAGTGATAACGAAGGCGTTTATGCCGGCCCACCTCCATCGCATCTACAGGCAATCGAAGTCGATTCCAACACTCATAGCGATGATAATGACTCTGCCCTCGATTCTGAGTTGGGTTCAACCACCAGCACCTCGATCGTATCATCGATTCAAGACTATGAATACGCCAACGGACGACGATATCACGCCTATAAAAGAGGCGCATATCTACTCCCCAATGATGAAGCGGAGCAGGATCGCCTTGATTTGCTACATCACGTCTTTTTACTTGCCCTTAATGGTCATTTGTTCATATCCCCTCTTTCTACTCCGCAACGGATTCTCGATATTGGCACCGGAACGGGTATCTGGGCTATTGACATTGCCGATGAATACCCTTCTGCGCAGGTGATCGGTATCGATCTAAGTCCAATACAACCGGGATGGGTACCACCCAATGTGCAGTTCTATGTTGAAGATGCAGAAACCGAGTGGATGTATGCTGATGATGATTCTTTTGACCTTATTCATACTCGAGTAATGGGTGGAAGCATCGGTGATTGGGACAAGTTTGCCAGCCAGTCTTACACCCATTTGAAGAGTGACGGTTGGCTTGAACTCCATGAACCACAATCCTGGGTAGTTTCAGATGATGATAGCATGACACGCTGTGAATACACCACTCAGTTTCAGACCAAATGCGTGGAAGCTGCGAAAAAGTTCTGCAAGGATATCAATCTAGCCCACTCACATAAACAGAGACTGCTTGACACGGGCTTTGTTGATGTACAAGAAGATATAATCAGGGTAAACTTGTCCCCTTTGCAGTCTTATATTACAGGTTTTCGTTTCCGCTTTAATTTCGGTTCCTTTAACATGCTGTACTTAAACTGGAGGGTTAACTGTTTCTTAGTTACCTCTCGGATCTTGGCCTAGAGATCGTCGACTCAAAGAAATCGGCCGCTTCTGGCTTGAGCACATGGTTGCCGGAGTTGAAGTTTATACCCTCGGCTTCATTGGCAAAGTCCTAGGATGGAGTGAAATTGAGTGTCGTATGCTTATTGCCAAGTGTACAGAGGAGTTGAGGGACCGCAAAAATCATTTATATGTAAACTTATATGTTGTTCGTGGACGTAAGCCTTAATGGCTCTGCTTCTACAAGGTAATACCAGTGAGTGGAGTTAATTTATTGATTTATAGCGTAGCTAATGTGGTTACAATATACTAATTATATGTCCTGGGAGAGAGATTTCAGCAAAATTCGTGCTGCCAGTAAATCTAAGCCCAGTTATGATGCTGATAGGACAAAAAGAGCCATTTCTATATACATTCAGGATGGCCTGTATAACGCCAAGCTACGTGAATGATTACCCTTACCAAATGCGTCTCGACAGAGCAGATGCTGCGAATCAGTATCATGCAATATGAAATGTGGCCATACCATAGATTCAAGACTATGGTAACGATTAGAAATTGCATATGTTTGACTACCTAAAACGAACAAAGAGAGAAAAGTGAAAAAACAGTCTTACAATAGTCCCGAGGTATCGAATACAACTAAGTACTTACTTATCCGCAGTCCGCAGACAAAGACGACTTAGACCACCAGTCTTCAACCTTACTTTCCTCATGGGTCCCACAGTCGCATCTTGGTGATTTGATTTTCGATGTCCGACGTCGCCAGGTTGAAAAAGTCGTTTAGAATGACAAGGAGATGGTTGTCACCAAAGTGCGGCTTTGCATTTGTACACAACCAGTTCAGGGTCTTGGAATCAGCGTTCGCCTTTTGGGCCAAAAGAACGCGATTGTGAAATGTGATTGCTGCTCCAAGGGCAATAGCGTTTGAGCTCGTTATTGTCTGGCACCGTAAATATGTCAATGCAGTGCCTTCCTGTTTGTCCCCTGACATGCTGTTGAACTCAGCGACGATACCTGAGCCGTCGGGGACGATATGGTGTTCCGTTGCATATTCATCGTAAGGTTTGTTGATGCTAGAGCCTTCGTTTTTGGAAGACATAATCAGGCGCTTGTTGTCCTGACGCAACGGCTCATGCTAAGCCTCGCCCCAGTTCTTCCAAGTGAACCAGATCACAACGGGTTTATTTCGCTGCGCACACAAGAAGCTAACGGCATACTCGAGAAAGCTACGGATTGTTTTGTTCGGGAAGGACATTATGATGAAAGTACAGATCATTTAGGCCAGCCAAGGAGCGCAAATGTGGCTCAAGCAAGTCGGGAACCTCGCACTTCGAAGAAACGGGCACCCGTGGCCAGTTGGTCTTTCATGCCGTCCTTCTGGTTACGTGACGTAACTTCCATAATTCCTAACGCCGTCAGCGCGGCTATCGGACCCAAATGTCCCACAAAGCCGAGGGGACAAGGACTGGAGTGAGAATTTCGCTCATAAAAGCAGCAGGGCTCAATACAGATGGTATAACCCGACACGTGTCCATGTTATTAAAGCCAAGACTATGAGCTGCAGGTAGAATGAATCGATGAAAAGGCTTCTGTGCATTTACTGATCTTGGAGGTGTGAGAGCTGCCATCAACTGAAAGCGTTCTAGAGCGACTGTAACATAGCGAGGCAGGTTCGCAGTCGCATAGTTTCCGGCATCATAGAAAGTATCTTGGATTATCAAGCCATCAACAACGGCAATCTTCTAGTCACTAAGTTCCTTATCTATATCCCCCTTGCCTAGGTTGCCCGTGTAAGCATTGATGTCCTGCCATTGAGAAACCAGCATTTTCCCATTGAGCACCGGAAGGAGCTCAAATTTCAGCGGTACCATTGCTGACTTTCATCAGGGGCTCGTATCGTGTTTGGCAGGGTGGTAGCATCCCTAACAAAGAGATTGATTCCATATTTCAATCAATGATCTCAACTTCCTGCTGACGAGATTCACTGTAGAAAAGAGAAAATCCAGGGCTTTTACGATATATCGAGGAGCTTCAGGGCCCGGTGGCTCTGGTAACCCAAACATTCGATATAGATCGTCTGTCGAGTAATATTCCATGCCCGTCAGGCTAAAACGATATCTAAAATCAGTTAGCAAACGTATACCAATGTAGGATAGCTACTTCAATAATCTTGAATCTCATACCTCCATGGCACGCCCATTGGGTGTGAAGGTCCGCTAGTGCCTTGGTAACTTAATATCCGGCTCGACGCGAGAGTGATAGACTCATCCTCGAAGTGAGGCTGTTGGGCAGCTGAGAGGTAGAGGGGCCTAGAACAGGAAGTACAAGACATATATGATGCCCGTCTGGTCCGCTTATAACAAAACTTTCGTGCTGAACGCCAGAATTCGTTATATTATTACAGGTTCGTGTGGCATTTAGCCTCAAGAGGCTCTTAGATCCAATCGTAGTCGATGCATCAGCGATCGCAATTTTGAGAGCAACCCATGTTTCCTTTATCTTGTCACGTGCAAGCCAGACGGTAGAAACTCCGCCGAAACCGAGCTTATACACAACTTTGAAGCGCTTATCGCAGTAAAGGTCTCCCAGATGAACAGGATGGAAACTGCCCGGTCGATACATCTCGAGATCTTCGGAGTCAAAGTTGACGAGTAGGAAGCGAAACGAGCCGACAGAGTCGATATCTTGATCATTTGATGGAGAGGAGATGTTGGTCTATGTTCTCGGCTCGGGCAAGAGATTTCTTGACTGAAAATATCAGAGTCCATTGACAGTTTATTTGTAGTGCTGCCACGGTCAGGCTCATAATTCTGTCATGTTTAGAGGTGAGTAAGATGCTGTTGGAGTTTGTATTCTATGTTTTCCTGCAGAGTCGCTTGGTTTTAATCACGCCTTGAAAGTAGATGGAAGTTCCAGTCCGAGTTCAAGCCCCGCATTCGTTGGCGCTGTTGGTATGTACAAGCCCATGGTAGCCTAACATATAGAACGATCTATCGAGATGATAATAGTAAAGCACCGCTAGGTCAAGAATCTGATTGTATAAGACGAAGTAGCTTAAAAGTCAATATATACGTGTCCCGGTTTTCACCGTCACCAAGAAAACTTGGTTAAAACAGCGCAATAAATCCGGTCATCCAATGACAAGTGCAAACTGCCCTTTTCCCTTAGTAACACGGAAATCCCACTCGTAATCCTTGTACTCTTCGCGGGCTTTCAAAGTGACTGGGAAAGGTTCACCAGGTGGCGTCACAGTTGAAACTACCGAGCTCAGATCCAACTTGGGATCAATCCACGGAGAAGATCCTGCTGGAAAGAGATCAAAGCGCATAATCATGGCTGCCGCAAACGAAATGATCTCACCACTGGCGAAATGTCGTCCAGGACAGATACTCGGTGAAACGCCGAATCCCAAGAATCCGCCTAACTTACGAGGCTTTGATTTCAGATAGCGATCAGGCACGAAATCCTTCGAGTTATCACTCCAGACATCAGGGTGAGAGTGCACTGGTCGTACTGGGATGTATGCTATAGAACCTGCCTTGAGCAGATATTTGTTGTCAAGCATCATATCCTCGTACACAAATCTGGTGGATGCCCCCGAAGCTCTGAAACGCAATGATTCCTGGAAAGTTGAGACGAGCAGTGGACATTGGTCGCGCAGATCTGCAACGTCGATAATAGCGTTATGTCCGTCAACATGCAACGCGTTGTTTTTAATTTCTCCTCGCAATTGCTCCAGCAACTTTGGGCGAGAAAAAAGATCGAACATAAACCAGAACGTTGTGGGAACAGTGTTGGATAACAGACCAAGGCCCATACTAGCCTCAATTCGCGCAACTTCTTCAATTGGTATTCCGTTCGTGACATGCACATTGTACCTAGCATGGGCAAGCACAGATGCATGTTTTAGACCATCTGCCTTATAGTACTGAATAAAAGCACGAACGAGAGTCTCACGGCCTTTCCAAGCCTTTCGGGCTGTTATTTGTGGTACGACTTTGGGCATTAGCTTACCAACACCGGCCTCAAATTCCCTATGTTCATAGGTCAGTTTCAATAAACCAACTCTTAGTCATTATCATATTTACCAGAAACAGTCCTGGACAGCTTTGTCTTTGAATGGACTTAGCGGGCCCCATACAGAGTCGGTGCTTGCGACAGTCATGGCTTCTTTACACCACTCAAAGAGGTCAAAGGACGTTTGCCCGTACTGCAGAAGCCCATCGAGCCACAATTTCAAACCCTTAACCATGGCTTCATTCATCCCATCTAAACCTTCTCCTAGAAGAGCAGGGTGCATGGCTTCGACCATGAGCTGGTTGACGCCTAATCCACCACGTTTCTTTTCTAGAAGAGCGTGACAGGTCGCGGGCGAGCAGCCAGCGATGCGACTTGCAGCCACGTCTAAGAAAGGATCAAATGATATATTGCGAGAATTACGTTGGACGGCTAACATCAGAGAAGGGGCAGTTATCACATAGCTCTTAGCTCCTGGAATATTGATGGTGAATATGGGCAGATCACGATGTTCCAAACTATTGAACTTGAGTTAGAGTGCATCTACAGGAAGTAAGTATTTTCTTCTGAGCCGCACATACCTGATTTTAGTGTAGTATGACAACCCGTTGCGCACTAGGTTAATGATATGCCCTACAGCAGGAATGGTAGGCTTGATCTCGGGTGGCTCGCGGGGATCGACGTTCTTCCGTGATACGATCCATAATGTGATTATTATCAATCCGACAGTGAGAAGAACTCGAGACAGTGGAAGACTGGTGACCAGCTCCTGGAAATTGTTGGCCAACATGTTAGCTGAGAATTGGCAGTCATGCAAGACTGTAACTGCCTAATCCAATATGCATGCAAAATCAACGAATATACGGTCGTCCCTTAAAGTTGACCCGACAAGATCCAATCCATGGTTTTATTCAGGCTTTTGTAGACAATAGCAGAGAGGTGACAAGAGGAACAAACCATTTCGCGACGGAGCTTCGCGATAGCAAGAAGCGATCAAAACATCGCTTGCTCACCGCCTTGATGATACTCACAGCTCTGATTGGACCGAGCTTCTGCCAGGCTCTCCATGTCAAGATACGCGTCAGCCTCTGGATGAGAAAATGAACTTATTGGACACTTTCGCAAACAATTCTCTGTCAGAATACGAGAGTGGAGTCCTACTATTACTCATGCTTCATTCAATTTTTAAGCTGATTTCTTTCCATGTACTCCGTAGAGCCGAACATATTTGGATTATGCTGATCTCGTATAAACTTATTTCCGGACGACAGCGGAAATTGGCTGACTAATAGATGAAGCCAATTGGAACACGCCATTAACCATGCTTATTGTCAGATAATCTAGACTACAAACGAGGCAGAGAGATTCGATGTTCGATCTTACAGGTCTAAAAAGGCACCTAGATTTCAGCCCAATGTTTACCCCTCATGATAGCTCACAAATCACCCCGCCAAAGATGTTTATAAAAACCCAGTTTGAAAGTTGATGAACAGACAGAAGAGAACGGAATACATACAATCTTGCTAGTCACTTCTTTTCTTTTCATCCTAGTAAAAACACTCTTCAGGATTGGCCTGGAATAAACCGACTAATCCGACACTTATCAACTTACCTTGATAAGGCACCCTAGAACATCTGGATATGCAACTGGCGAATATACTTAATGGTTTCTGTCACTCCATCATATATCATATGCCCATTCTTACGAGAAAATCCAGCACGCGGGAAATGATGCCCAGTAATCCATGGATGTAAGCAACTCACACTTATTTGTCGATGTTTAAATCGATTATACATATCCATGAATGACTAGGCAGAATATTAAAATTCCCGGCTCCTAGACATTCTCTACTTGCGATTTGGTACTTCCACGCGCGAACTAAATAAAATGCTTTATACGTTAGTTTTATTAATATCCTCTAAGCTGGTCAGTGGTCTTCCAGAGAAGGTGTCTAATCATGACCATCCGGATGGCTACTACCTATTATCATAGTTCCTAATCGAACCCCCGATGATTAAGGTAGGACAGCCGCTCTTCAAGATGTTGAAGGTGCTTACCACTCCAACGAGGACAATTCGAATACATTCATTGTTCAGGACACAGATATCGCAAGGCAAAATCAGCCTCGTTCTCGGACCAATGCTTGAGATCGAGGAGCTGCCGAATACCGTAAGTGTTTCCCGATTTGGAAATAATAAACGAATCATATGCACTGCCGACGTGAGACCTAGCCCTAGCAGGCTGAATCAACTTATCGACGGCTGGCACTGCCACTCGTAGTTTGCAATTTGAGAATATAAAGGATATGTTTGGCAGCGTCCAGAGGCTCCTATGTAATTCTCAAATTTTGAACACTCTCCCTGAACCCCGCAAAAATGGAGAGCTCAGTTGGGAAGGAAAACCCTTTTTCACAGGATTCAATCACTCAAGACAATAATATATCCCACATACAGACACATTCCCAGTCGGATAAGACCGCCCTTGTCATTCATATGAATAAAGAAAACGAATCAATGAACGCCATCACGCCAACTGAATGCATTGATCACCTTAAGTTTCTCGCCGCCGTAGCAGAATTACAACGCAGCATCAGGTCATCAGACGGGCTGTTTGGGATTAATGAAATAGGGGAGCTTGCTGACATGCTCAATGATGCGGATATTCGAGCCCGCATGGAAGAAAAGAGATGGCAAGTGTATGTTTCTCGTGCCGTGGACCGTTTCAGGGAATGGTGGGTGAGTCTACCGAAATATAAAAAGCAGCCGACAGTAATGTCATTGAAACGATATGAGATGAATCCATTGACTTTGGATGACAACATTGGTATCTCTTTGAGTGAACCAGAACTTCCTCCTTTAGGTGAGCCAGTGGTCTTCAGGAAGTCATTGTCTATGGCGCTAAATGATCCTTGCATAGATATTCTCATGGTTTGGCATTCCTTCATGCTAAATCCTCGTGCGTATCTAGAAGACTGTTTCCGGCAGGCAAAAATGAATTTATGGGCAACTCCATTTCCATGGGATTTAGTTACCCAATGCATCTCAATGGACGATGAGAAACGGTATTACTACCACCCAAGTGAGAAGGCTCACCAGCAATGGAATATCCGGACCGGTAGGAAATGGGACAACCTTGAGGATCCGCTTCATCATGCACTCAAATGCCCTTTCTGCCACAAGAAGACTCGCGTTCTCTGGACGAAAGCACGTATCACCATGTTAGATCCCACTAGGGCGTCCCTCCGAGGCATGACCCCCGGCTTCGAAAACGCCGATGGCTACGCCGACAAGTCTTTTAGTATTTCATGCTCTGGCTGTCATGAACAACTGGATCATGATTACTTGTCCTTTATCAAGTTCAGAATTGACAACATCGCATTGATCAAACAGCATTTACCTCTTCCAGGAACGCTATACGATCCCAATGGAGTAGTGAAAACCTCAGAAAAAGGAAAAGTCAAGTGGCCTCAACTCACTCCAAACTATCTTTTCTTAGATTCTGGCCGTGAATTTGGCGACAGAATGGGAAATCGAGCAAACGAATGTCGATCTGTTCGACAACTCGCCGATTTGATATATGAACATGTCTATCGTCACAACCGAAAGATCCAGGTCTTGGACATGGACTCTGAGTTGGCTAATAGCGATATGTTTGATTTGCCTGAAGATATGTTCAACACATCGAAAGGGAAAGGCCGTGGTACACTACGTCGCATGATGTCTCGGTATTGGGGTAACTCTTCCATGTTCGCAATTGACCTTGTGGGAGCAGTCATCAGACAAGGGAGCTTTGTACAGAAGATGCAGAAACTCAATTGGCTTCACTCGCGCTCAGTGTCGGCCTTGCATCCACTTATGGAGAAATTCATCACAAAATACTACATCTTCTGGAAAATTATTGTGGACAACCCTTCACAAATGGTCGTCCCTACGTTGGACGTTGACCTTGTATGGCATACTCATCAACTGAACCCAAAAAATTATTACACTTATTCAATTAAAACGACGGAACGAAGAAAACCGGTGCGGTTCATTGACCACAATGATAGGATTGACGAGGGCCGGCTATCCGACTCCTTCGAATGGACCGTTAGGCAATACCGCAAGGTTACGGGTGGTGAGCTCTATAGCGAATGCTTCTGTTGGTATTGTGAAGCGACACGAGGAAAGAGGCTCTTTGAGAAGCTGTCATTGTCATCCAAAAATATTAAAGAACTGGACCAACCAAAAAACGAGAAGAACGATACCACATCGAGCTTAGAAGAGAATGTGTCAACGCATATTTCCCCCCATAACGCGGTGAGAGCGCCTGATCAAGTTCCACGTCGGAGCAGACAAAGACTCGAAAGAATTATTCGGGAGCACCATAGACGAGATGCAGTCAATGGAAAGGGGTTAAAGACGAACAAAAACCAAAACGAACGGACCACGCTTTTCGAGCTGTTCGAGAAAGATCCCCCGTTGCATCACGATGTATATATCAATAATCCTGCGTGTTTGAGCATGGGTAAAGATGCCGTAGGTAACTGTATAGGAGGGTCGTGTAGTCCTTCTATGGCGGCTGGTAGTTGTGGAGGCTCTACATTTACATCCCTTTGCGCATCAGGAGCTAAGAAACACGGCACAGGATTTGGTTATATGCAATACAGGGGAGCTGGGGGTGTAGGTGGAGGTGGCGGCGTTGGTTGTGGTGGAGGATGTTAACATGCATGTCAATAAACATGACTGCATTGCCTAAATACCATGGTGGATCTCTTGTAGATCTGGAAGTTCTAGGTGATATATCACAATAGTAAATATAAAATGTGTTGGTTGTAGTCATCTACATACCATCATGTTACCTGTGCACTCCTAGAAAAGAACTGCAATCAATAAGCTTGAGGAGTTATCAACATGATTTTGAGGACTGATTTCTGGTCGGATGTCGTCTTACCTGGGGTGAACATCATTTGGTGCTGATATTGCGTGATAACCGTTAGCTAGTCTGACTAGGTACAAATACAGCTTAATTTCTCTTACGGTTTTAAATTGTTTAATCACCTCTCCCCACTGGAATTCTTTAAAGACTAAGTACGGAACTTGCAGATAGGTTGGACCACAATTATTCTTATGAGAGACCGAGAAAAGCTGGACAGCAAGAGTCAATATTACTTTATTCGTGGCCAGAACATGAATCTAGCTTCCTCTTACCAGTCATCAATCTAGATCCAGCCGTCAAGTCACACCAACACAAGAAGTGTGTTCATTCACGGCACCAGATAGAGTCTCCAGTTGGCTTTGAAAGACTCTTGGCCTAGAGCTTGTCTTTCGTTTATCGGGCACTTTCGGGTAAAAACTCGAGGCATCGGCTTTTTTCTCAACTACTGTTGGTTTGTGGGAGCAATCGAGTGTGTGTGTGTGTGTGTGTGTGTGTGTGTGTATATATTTAACGGCCGTGGTTCGTGACTCGCACGCTTCCCACCGATCCCTACTGGGACATAGGCCGCTGAGGGGTAAGCCTCGGGTTTCGGGTCCTATCAGATTTATGTACAAATAAGAGACTCTTTGGCGCATTTCCATAGCTGCCGTGGTCTTACAGGGAGGTCCACTTTGAGTGGGTTTTAGGTATTTGTCAGCTGCAATGGTCTGCCTACACTCTATGACCTATTACTCCACCACTATTATAACTGAACAGTAAGTTTTGCAGAGAGAGAAAGAAAGAAGAGAAGAGAAAGAAAGAAGGAGAAGAGAAATATAAAGAAAAAGTAGGGCTGTCTTAGCTAGGTGCTAAGGAGAGGTTGGCGAGGGTAGATATCCTCAAAGAAGTGGGTCTCTGCTAGCCATGTGGCTAGCTTTTGTGCTCCTTTAGCAGTGCCTAAGAGAAAAGAGATGACCTCAGAAGAGGGCCTAGGAGGCTGAGAGGCTCATCTCTTAGCTATATGACAGAAGAAGAAGTGCAGAGGTGCTTTTTATGCTCTGCATTGGCAGAGAAGATAAGCATTATTATGGTTGAAGCGTTCATGGTAGTCTGTAAAGTCTCTATGACCAGTACAGGCCGTAATAACATAGCTGAGATCAAGTTGGTTGAGTTGAAGCTCCCCAGGGCGCTTAGGGGAAGTGGCTATTTCTAGATCTTGATAGCTCTATAGTGCCACCTTCTCCCATTGTGACTGAGCAGCGGATAGGGATTGAGTCTTGGCGTATCTCTTTAGCGAGGCGTATGAGGATTTGTGAGGAGTAGGAGGGATTGAGGCAGCTCCCTCTTTGGCAGCGAGATCAGCCGCTTTGTTCTTAGGGATTTTGGCGTGTCTAGGGACCCATCAGATTTGGACAGATCCACTTTTAGTGTGAGGAAGCCTTTTGCGAAGTGGCCAGGCAGCTACAAGGGTGCGGAAAGATTCAAAGATTTCTTGGAAAGATCCTGTAGAGGGAGATAGAAGGTGTATAGCAACTTCCAGGTTGTCAAGGCAGATCCATAGGTTGGTAGTAAATTAAGCTGTTGAGTACGCTATTGCTGCTTGAGCGCCAGCTAGAGCTGCTTCTACTTCTGCGTTAAAGACCTCTTTCCCGTGTCTGTATGAGAGTGAGGAGCAGAGGAACTAATGATGTGCTTGAAGTCCAATATAGCCACCCCCTGCACATCCGTCTGCTAGCCTAGATCCATCTGAAAAGATTATAATATCTGAGCTAGGGATAATATGTTAAAAAGCCATGAAATTAGCCGCTGCCTGTTCCTTAGTGCGTCCCATGGGAGCTTCTATTCAAGCTTAAGCATTCCCACAAGGCTCACGAGGGTGCCAGGGAGCGTATTGGAGAGGGTTTATCTGTTCAGAGTTTGAGAGGGCCAGTATATGGTGGGCAAATTGGCTGATTTGTCAGCCATTACTAGCGATCTGTTCTGCGCATCTTCGAAGTGGGTGATAAGGGTCGAGACGCCGTAGGCAGACAGTTGCAAGGAGGGCTATTTGATCTAGTTCGATTTCTGGTGGAGAGAATCCAGACTCTCGATAAAGGACTGGCTTTGGGGTTGTGCGGAAGACTGGAAGGACTGCTCTTGCGCCTATTAGTATTACTTTAGTTAGTTTCTCAAGATGTTCTCCAACTCGGTTTGAAATCTGGGAAGGTCCAGGGCGAGTACATCCTGGCCACCAGGTTTCTGCGCCATAGTATGCTTTATAGAGTACACAGGCTGATACAGCCTGCTATAGTAAATCAGGTTTGACTCCTCAAACAGTATTCCCTAGAGAGCAAAGAGCGTTGGCCATAGTAAGGGCTTTAGATGCTATTTCTCTAACATGCCATTTAAATGTTAGCTTTTTATCAAAGAGGATTCCTAGCCATCGTAGATATAGCCATTTAGTGTTTTCTGATATTATAATAGATTCAGCTTTCACTGAAGGTGTGTGGATTGAGTCCTAATCTGCTTTATATTAGGAGAAGTGAAGAAGCTTGTATTTATCTGATGCAAATATAATGCCCTCTGCAGCGCCCCAATTAAGAGCTTCTTAAAGTGAGTCTGATAAGGCTTCGCAATTAGTAGTAAGAGAAGTTGAGATCGCTAGGTTGGCTGTGTTGTCCGCGTAACCAAATCTATTCCTTAGGTTTCCTAGACGGAATAGAGGCGCTATGTAGAGCATGAAAAGAATGCTAGATACTAGGGATCCTTGTGGAAGACCGTAGGTAATGTCTGTTGAGGGGCCGATCTCTCGATCGAGTCGGATCTGAACTGATCTTCCAGTAGCGAAGGAGGCAATCCAGAGAACGAGATTGGTAGGCCAGCCCTGCTCGCGTAGTCTGCGGATCAGTCTGCCGGGAAGTACAGAATCAAAGGCGCCTTTGACATCTAGGGTAAGGAGTGAGGCAGTCATGCCTTGATTTAGCGCTTATTCAATATCATGTGTTAGGCATGTGGTCAGGTCAGTTGCAGATCTTAGTGGGAGAGCCCCAAATTATTGCCTTGCTAATACTTTATGGTGTATAGAGATCCATGCCATATTCCATGCCACCAAGCGCTCCAGTCCTTTGCCAAGTACTGATAGGAGAGCGATTAGTCTGTATAATCTAGATAAAGACCAATTAGTCTTTTTTGGTTTCTAGATGATTGCTAAGATTGCGTGTCGAAAGCATTTAGGATGATAACCAATCTTTAGGCACCCTTGATATAGCATTAGTACCTTATCTTTGATCAGAGGCTAGGCTACTTTGAGTATGCAGGTTGGGATTTCATCTGCGCCAGGGGCTGTGTTTCCTGCCTGAAGTACTGACTCCTCCACTTGTAGCATCGATATATCTGGGAAGTAGAGACTAGTGGAAGGCACTGCTGGGGAGTCCAGAGGTATGTCTCCTGCCTCTGCCAAGTTCTGGAGAAGATTTTGGACTAGTACGTCTCATTTCTTGTGTATAGTAACTACTGGGAAGCTGTTGGGTCTCAGTGGATCCTTCAGTGGAGGGCTTCGGAAGGTGCCTGTAGACTTATGCTATTTACTCATATTGAAGACATCCTTTATTTGTGTTGCCGTAGAGAGCTTATCTTACCAAAATTGTTGTTGAGACCATCTAGTTATCCTACGGAAGTCTGTCTTTGAGCAGAGGCCTAAGCGGTAATTGTGTAAAGCTTTCTTGCAGTCTTCATTCCACCATGATTGTCCTATGCCTTATGTCATGGTCCTCTTAGTAGAGCCTCTATATGCTCCTTGAGTTGCAGATGTCAGTTTTTCAGTAAGGGCATCAAGATCTTCTTCTGTTGCGGCTGAGCTCTCGGTGCCAGCGAGATTAGAGGCGAGGAGCGAGAGGAAGGAGGTATAGTCTAGTGTGTTAAATCTCAGTTTCTAGGCTGTTTCCTTGTATCTCTGATCACATGGAACAGTGGTGATTAGTAGTTGATGATCTGAGGTTGCATCTAAGTGGCTCGCTATGCTAGCTTTGGCTCCTGCGAGTGCCAGAGGGCTTGAGGCGAAACTGAGGTCTAACATGTTACCCCTTTCATATGTGGGACAGTCTATATCGGAAATGAGTACTAGACCCTGGAGATCCAGCCAGTTGATAAACGGCTCTGCAAAAGTTGTAGGGCTGCGTTGTAGCGAGGGTTGCCATCTGTTGTGTAGTAGGTTAAGATTGCCTACAAGTATCGTTGTTTGAGGGAAATACACCTCTGGCAGGGTTGTGAGAGCTTTCGCGGCTTCACCTGCTCTGCTGCAGCCTGCTGAGGCATTATAGATGTTAACTATCAGAGCGGACTTTCCTATAGACGAAAAAATCTGAAGGAACAGGAGATCCAAGACTTCTTTAGTATTAGTTGTAAAGGGGCGTAGCTGGGAGGTCCGGATACCTTTCTTCTTTCGGACATAGATAAGGACTCGTGGTTGACCACTTATTGCCCAGCTATCAGTTGGGGAGAAGTATTCATATAATAGATGTTTTTTAGTGATCTGTCAGCTGAGGTCTTTGAATGTATATAGTTCTTGGATTAGGATAATATTAATGTCGCTAGTGTATGCCAATGTGAGGGCTATTTTATATGCGTCTGACGCGTGCCCTACATTTAACTGTAGGATTTTGAGAGGCGCCTTTTGAGTTGGATAGTGATAGATTATAGCTCC